GCAGCTAAGAAAAGCACTGGAGGTAAAATAGCTGTTCTACTTCCGAGACTAAATTAAGAAGGACTGTAATGTTAACTATTAATTTATTTCTTTACTTTTCTATTTGTTATCTGAAGGTAATGCTTAACTTTTTAACTCTTTCTCTCTTACTAATTTGTGCCTAAGTTTTTTGGACTTAGGTGCCGTTGTGCCTGCGATGGGGCCATGTGTGGCAACATTATATAATGTTCACTGTACTCTTGTAATTCTGTACTTGAGTACGTGTGATAATAAAATCTAAATGTAAACTAATTCACATCTTCACTATTTAGGACATAATAGTTTAACCCACTTCACGTATGTTTGGGTTTTCCAAAAGGTAGTCAAATCTCAGATTTCAACAGTTCTCAAAAACGCTTCCATGGAGCTTAAACATTAGCAATTTCTCTTCTTTTCAAACATCATTTTGTTCACAAATGTTCATGGTTAACAATGGACAGAGCTTATATTTCAGTGTGTTCTTAACTTAGATAGCGGCACCATTGACAATGAAGGGTTCAGAGTCGAGATGGCAAAGCAGATGAGAGAGAAGGCGAAAGGGATGTACAAAGAAGAGTTGGCAGAAATATTTTGTTTATTTGACAAGTGAGTTTGACGTTTGACTAATTCAGTAGAAGTATGGCCATGGATAAATTCCATTTTGAGGCAGTAGTTTCTCCAATGTACACATTGAAAGATGAAAGAACTTTCTCAAAGATTCGCAAAGCAAACAGAAAAGCATACGTGCTTGAAGCTAAATATTGGATCGGGGGCCGACTAGCTTAGTTGCCTGGACAGCTGGTTTGCAATACAGACTAAAGCCAACAGTGTGGCTTTAATTCCTGCACCAGCTGAGGTCTCCAGGAGAAACTCTCCATCTCAACTCTGAACTCAGGACCCTCGGTGACCCTTCGGTTAAACTCACCATCACTCATCTCTTTCTAATGAAGAAAACAGCCCTATGATTTGCTGAAATTACGGTGACTTTACTTATAAATTAATGTAAGTAAGCCATTTTAGAAAAGAAGTACATCTATTATTCAAAATACTTCAGAAGCTTGTAATCTGAAACAATAGTAAAAAATCTCACTAGGGTTAGCACCATTTGTAGAGATAGGAAAACCGAGTTTGTGTTTGGGTCATACATAACTTCTTCAAATCTGAATTGAGGT